AAAGTAGATGATTAAAACAAAAGAAAATAATGGTGGCATTCTTGGCACAAAATTTTCGAGCAGATTCATAAGCAAATGAATTGATTCAGTTTAGCTGCCTCCTCAGAAAAATGAAATTTAGAAACAAACTGACCGGGAGGAAGGGCTTGAGAAGAATAAGCGACTTGAAACAATGATCTCAAGGGGGAGGAGACAAGTGAATGGTACGGAATAAACAGATAATTGCTAGGCATAGATACAATCGAACGGCTATGACTTTTTCTATAGTTTTAATATCCGCGCAACGTTCCCATTTGATTATACAGTGATCATCATTTTGTTATGCGAAAGTCCGTTTCAGTTTGAGGTCAGTACAAGTAGTGGGACTTAAAATGGCAAACCCCATATGGGTGTAAGCGGACAAGCGTGATGTGGATCGAAGGAACAACAACACTTAGTGAACCAGTAAGAATAGATCCAAAGTAAACAGTAAATGCATGATGTACATTCCACTGTGGAGTCATCTACGTCATGTGACAGTATGGTCAATCAGCAAATTGGATCCATAAGCTTTTTTGTGGCGAAATGGAATGGTTTACCTGGCTCTATCTGTCTATAAAATTGCAAACTGAGTGTTTTCAGTTCTGCATTCCCAATCAAAGGCCTCATATGCACTCCTCAGGGATTATCTGGTTACAAATTTTTAAGCGGGCACACCCGGTGATAATCGCAAATTGATCCAATGCTTATCCGCTGCGACTTGGACACTAATTTGTGAGCTGGATTGTAGCTCAGGCGGACTGAATTCATCTTCCCCGTTCTCTAGATATGACAATTCATCTACAAGCGTCTCATAATCACCATTCCCAAAGCACAGAAGACGTCACCTCGGTTGGTGATAAAACGTTTGGCAAACAGATTACAAACCCGGTGAACAGGCAAAAATGAATACTGGTATGCATGGACAGCAAAAACAAACCGAGATACTTGAATTCACTAAGCAACCACTTGTTAGGAGCACAACAAAGATAATTCAGGTGAACGAAAACCGAATAGGTGCATACTATGTAATATTCCAATGTCACATTAGAAGTTTGATGTGACCTGGTCACAATAGTTTGCAATATGAAAGAACAACCATTACAAGTTCGCATTGCACAGAAAATGCACTTTTATGACCTCACGGTTTACGGAATGAAATCGTGGGTTGGATGATCCAAAGGTAGTATAATGCCGATCGATTTCGGGGAAAGCGCGTTTCAGATATCGAAATAACTTCAGTTTTCTGAAGTTACTGAGTTTTTGAGTATATACACCGCAAATTGCATACCCAAAATTAAGCGGGATTACTGAAGTCTGTTCGGTGGACGAGAGATAAAACAAAACACAAATCGTGGAAAATAGTTCCACGTTTCGTGAAAACATCTCCATTAACCCAGTCGCATCGCAAACCAGACTGGAAGATGATTGAAGATAGAACATGCATTCGGTAAGGCCATAGAGAACAAAAGACAACAGTGAGAGCACTGGATAGATGAACGCACACAACTGGCCACCGTGCTAGTTTAGATCATTCGAACCTGAGTCAGTCATCTACAGGATAGATCTGCATTGACGAATTTCACGTAGCTACCAATTGAGATGTGTGCACAAGTCCCATGCACTGTGCATTATTGAGCTAGTTTGGCCAAATCGTAGACAACGAAAGACTTGAAAACCTTGGTGAAGAATAAAAAAAATTGGATAGAGACTAAGCGGTTCGGAGGTCTTAGTCCATACGGTTAGCAAAGCGCAGTCCCGATGATTTGATTACATTCGCTAGTTCACGACCGGATTGCATAGCTGTTCGCTCTATTAAAAGTCCAGCTCCTAGCTCAGGGAGCAGCCAAAACGACGGATAGTGACCTTGAACAAAGAATATCTGAACCTAAATTCTGTCTACGAATACTGTCCGTGACTGGATTATGTGCACATATTTTGTCGTCAACCTCTGTGCAACGAAAGTTGTCTTCTGTGATATTCAGGAAGTTTATTAACCACCCCCTTGAAACCAAAGAAAAGTTAGTTTACAAATAAACATTGTAGTAGTTAGCGAGGGTAGTTGAGAGGCTTGGCTTTATCAATATCGAATTCTCCCGACCACTAAGGCCCGAGTTTTGTGCCAGACTAATGGCACATCACCTCACCATTGTCCAACTCAATGCCTCATCTCATATGAATAGCATATGCATATGCATATCGAGTGCTTTAAAAAACGCACTATTACCGATTTGTGTCCAAATAGCGATATACCGTTTCCGTGTCATTCATTTGTTTGGTGAAGAGTTTATTTTACAAAGTTGGGATTAGATAGAATCGTCTAGTTCACACATTTAGATACGAAAGGCCTTATCCGATTATCGATCGAATTCGCATTGAGGTCATTTGCTTACTTGCAGGAATCATTTCCGTGCAGCTAAATCAGTTTTACTTTGGGCATATACATTTCAACATGATTTTCTGNACAAGCTCGCAATCGAACCCCGATAGATTTGAACATCCCCTCGGTTATACTTAACGATTTATAACACAACTCGTTCAGACTGATATTTCTCTAGCTCACACAAGTACGAAAAGAAACATGGATCATGCGGGTCATATTCAACTAGTCTCCTGGCTGAACATCACTACAACTTCATCGTCACGTGTAACACTTAGTTTATTCAGTCAATCATACGCTCAAACAGCATTGTACACTCATTAAAGCTGATTGATGGGGCACGTCCGTCGGCCTATCCTAGTTTTGAATCTTGCGATTCAAGGATAGAATACAGCCATATGCAACTAGCTCAAAATGGGTCTGACAAGAACTTGTTCCGACGTTTTCAATGACAACCAGTCAGTGTAGTTCTCGTAAAACGACTTTCACCAGTGATTAGAGATCAGTGAGGGATGAAAACGCTAATTTACAGGAGTGATTTGCGGCTTGCTTTAGTCTCTCACGTGAACGAGTTTGGATAGAGCAAATGAAGACAGTTTTTCGTTAAATTAAAACAATGGAGCTCTTCGCGAGCTGGTAGCCAAGTGTTTAACTTTGCTCTCGCCAGAAAATCTCATTCGCATTTCATTTCACCAGGTTGCAAAGCAGAACACATTCCCTACCACTTTTGGCAATGAACAGTAACTCATGGACGTGACGATAAACAGGTAAATGGAGCCCATGTTAGTGAGTCTAAACGAAACGGAGCAAGCGAATGTGACCCACCCAAAGGGAATGATTACCGGGATCTTAAGCACAGGAAATCGTGTCAACTTAGTGTTATCATGAAAAATTAATTGAAAACTAGGACATGAAACATCAGTCACATTTTGGCTATTTTGACACCATTTGTTTTACGAAACTGAAAACTAAACCATTAAACCACAGACAGCCTGCTAACAATTTTCCGTATTTGGATTCACGTGGTAAAGCAAGAAAAAAATGGTCCCTTGATATTAGTCAAAGGTCGAAGTCACCCGGAAATCTGCATTGACTGTAGCACGATGCGCTCGTTTATGGTCTTGATGTCCATTTCCTGTACAAAGCCATTTTTTAGGTAACACTGTACCCACCACTTAGTAACAAGCAAACGAGCAAGGAGAGATAGTTTAAAACGCCACTACCACTTATGTGAACTGAACAGCCCGGAATATCGATTGCAGTGAAGACTCTATCACGTGACTGACTGATTCCAAAGTACCGTCGAAAACTACGAACGTTTGTGTGTACCATCATGACCGTCGGTCGTGGCAATGACTGATCTAGTCTCGACAACAGACTAACTGCACAGCATCAGTTCAGGTGAGATCGGTGGAACCACGGTGAAATTATACAGGAGCGGAGGCACACACACGCACGCGCACATAGACACACGCACACAGTCTCAGATACAAACAAGCACTGAGAGTCTACTTACAGAAGGTTTAGAGTCGTCGGGGAGGTATACATTCTTGGAACCGTTCCGTTTTAGTCGTCCGAGCCATCCGGAAAACCAACCGTCCTGAACAGGCACAGTGGGCATGGTAACAGAGAAGAAGTACGTGTGTAATAGCGGTGTGTTCGTGGGTGTCTGAATGTGAGCATGGTGCTGTAATCACTATAAACAAAATGAGCCCAAAACAACAAGCACACATCGAAGAATGGTCAGTAGAGTTTTTTCTTGAGTCACTTCAGCTGCAACAGTTGACAGCACGGTGAGCGAGCCTACTCGAAGAACGGGGGAGGTAAACAATTATAGTCAACAAAGAGCACGAAGTTTGACCGTGCATACATACATTATTAGGTATGCCGATTGGAAAAGAAATGACCACAAAAATGTTCACTGTTGTCGATTCGTTGTTATATGTCCCTCAGTGGCTCCAATCAACTAGATAAAGGATCTTCTAGGTTCCAGCCTGGAAGACTCAATCCGTCAACGTCACATGTCGGCCTCTACTTTATACATACACATGCTTGAATAAACTAAACCACATTCGAATACTGTTCAATATTTTCAGAATGACGCTTGTGGAGCTAGATTCGAATTCATCGCGTTGGGGCAGGTTAGTGGTTTTACTTACCCTGCCTAACGAATAAGTCATTGCCTCTTGTTGTTGGTACCCCCGTCCAATTTTATCATAGATTTATTCTTTGATTCGGATCCCCAATTGCCGGTGCTATACAGTTGAGACAGTCTAGCTAATCTCTAAAGGAGCTACTACTCTAATTTAATCGGTCACATCAATATCAGTATGGACAATCCTCAGTACCTCAGATGAAAGTAAAATAAATACTGCACCGGGCCAGAGAGAATGGAGAATTCTACATTGGAGATTATTTCAAGCCCGATTGAAGGGTTTGAGTATTGGCAAGTGATAAAAAGCAGCGCACTGAACTGGCGGGAACAGCGAAAAAGGGACATGAGGCGAACAGAGGTGCACGTGCAAACAACAAAAATTTAACTTGTTAAATGAGTAATTGTGAGAAGAGAGTGATTCAAACCGTGAAATGAAATATAATTTACCTTGGACTGTTGTGTATTGTTACTCGGACTCTGGTCGCTATCCTCGCTTTCCTCTTTCGTGGCTCGGATAGAATTTTTATCACCTGCATCAGTGCGTGTGGGCTCTTCTCTGATCGGCCGCTGTTGCAGATCATGGGACGGGGCCAAATGCTTCGGAGTTTGCGGCGGACCGGGATACGATTGGGCGGGTGCATTGCTCGGGCGATCGTGACTCATGGAGCCGCGTCGGTTTGAACCTACCCCGCTACTGTTTCGGGAACGCGAGTGCTGNAGAGTATCGGATTGGAGGGAATGAATGTGTACTACCAAGTCAACGTCAAAAAACGGAAACAGTAATGAACTTAGAAACAATGAGAACAAGAACTGTGATAAAACGGAGAATAACAATAAACAAGAACTAAGCCAGCCAGTCGTAAGGGCTGTTGTTCACCTGGAGGGAATGTTTATCCCCGTCAGATGAGGAAAGTGAGTGCCAACATTCGCACAGATCGCATCGAACCGAACCGATACTCATTACGGGCAACGGAAGCGGTGGTAAAGGGGTTGCATGCAAACCGGGTGGTCGTGGTTTGCTCGTGCGTGACAAACACCGATTGATTGGACTGGATGCACGTCGTGCAGGAGAGACAGTCGGGGATCGAACACGATAAGTGGCACGTGCACCGTATGTCTGTACCGCATCAGCGCCTGCAT